AAATGGATAAGTAACGCAGAAACGACGCAAATATTAACGGCATACGTTGTTACACGCGAATATTACTTGCGAAGAAAAAAAAGGGGCCGATATTTCAATGTAGGTTAATTACATCTCTCGCTGCGTCCTACAATTTTAGCGTTATTGAAAATTCTTAGCCCGCAGCCAATTTTAAACGAATTACAAAGAGGACGTATTTGCACCTGACAACGCTGATCTGGATTTTGTTCTCGCAATATCGTTTGATACCGATTTGCGCTCACGTAACGTATCCAAAGGGCAGGAAACATATTCGCCGCTATTTCGCGAACGTTTCATAATGCGAGAGATACGTTTCATGATGCGAGAAATATGCTCCGGATAAAAGCACTCCGGGGCGCGCACTGAGTTTAATTAGATTTTTATTCGAGCGCTTTATCGGGGATAATAAAATATCCGCGCGCGAATATTTAGCGATGTGGCGCGTATTTAGCATCGGTAACGGCCGATTTATTTGCGAGCGCGGCCGTATCGCCAGGGCCGGCAATTAGCGATCAATCGATCGGAATTAAAAAATATGAAGTTTTGATCCAGCCGATAACTGTGATTAATGGCGAGTAACGTTGCGATCATCGTAAAGCGCGCGGGGATTGATGGACCGGCTGGATTGATTGCGCGCGCTTTCAACTGCATATTTTATTCCTATAAATGCCGTTTACACATATATCTATATACGTCGCACCGTGAGTAACTTTAAAAGCAGCGATAGACAAAAAAAAAGCAGTTATTTTTCGGCTCTGTTCCATAGTGACGGTGGTGAACGATATCTCCAACTATGCTTTTCAGCGTAACGCCCCTTTTCTTTATCTCTTCTCCTTCCTTAGATGAACGAATAGCGGCTTGACTCGCAGACTCGCAGAGATGAGATGCCTGGAATTTCTCCGGCAGTGGTGAAACTTTGTTTGCGCTCCGCGGACTAAGAATTAAATTAAAAGACGCGTAGTTGCAGCCTCCCTCCCGGGGACCGTCTAGTCGCGTCGCGGCGATACATTACTCCCTCATGCCGCTCTTTTAATGCTCATCAGATTGGATTCATTTATCTCTCTAAACTTTTTCGAAAATCTTCCCGATTCGCCGAGCTGTTAACGCTAAGCGGCGGGAATAAATTGAAGGTCCTTTCGGTTCCGGAGAAAAGTTCCGTCCCGGAACGGTAACTTTGCGTGCGTCAACTTCAGTAATTAGCTTTATATTAATTAATAAATTCTCTCGCAGTTGCGTTCGTATTCTTATTCGCTGCACGCACACGATATCTATATATATCCCTGCATTCTTAATTTTAATAGCGCAGCGCTTGATGAATTTAATTTTTCCTTCAAAGAAAATTTCGAATTAATCGCTGTGGATTAATTAGAATTTTTCGATATCAGAGAAATAAATCTCTTTGTGATCGAACTTTGATTTGAGATCTTAAAGTCTGTTCGAACTTGTTAATTTGAATAAGTTTAAGTTAATTTATTTGAACTTTTTCGAACGCTCTAATAAAATCCGAGGCGATTACTCTTACTCTCGTGTAATTGTAAACGAGATGAATCATCGCGGCGTAAATCGTTCCGATAATATAAAGGCATTGTTTCGTGCTCGCTTGAAGTCTAAATACGAGCTGAGGCTACGCCCGACTAATTGATCGTTAAGAGCATCCCCCAGCCGTGCCAGACCCGTTTCGCGCGTTCAAACAGAGACAAGCGCTTCTTTGTTTTCGAACGTGGAATTCTCGCACCGCAAAGCGCCCCTCGAGCGCTCATGGCTTAAGCCGGAAACGCGCGATTCGAGGGTTGCCGCTGCAGGTGCGGCCGTTCGTAGCTAAACTTCATTTACTTCAGTTTCTCTCCCACCAGGCCACGACCCGCAACCACTCACGAGCCTGACTGCGACCCAATCAAATTAGAAGAGCGTTCAAAGTATCAGTATCGCTCCCTCGAATAGACTCGTTCAACTTTCTTAAGATCGAACTTGTAATAAAAGATGGATTGAATTACAAATATAATAGCTTCCTACGCAAATAATGAGCGCCTATTTTGCCGAGTATTGTATATAATTCTATCCTCCTAATAATTTGCTTTTTTATTAATGAATTCTTTTCTTTTTCACCGCGAAGATAAATATTACATTAAAAAAAAGAAAAGTTTGTTATTTGCGTTGAATATTATTTATCATTCATTTACCGCGGTTTATTATCCTCTTTATCGCAGTGCTTCTGATCTCAATTATTAATATTTAGCCTGTAACATGATACTTTTTATCATTTAGAGTAACATTGATACGAGGACTGTTAATTTTTAAAGCTATTACTCGCAGCGGTCAAAAAGCGGTCGGAAATTTTGATTTTTATATTTAAACTCTATGCAAACACATAACGAGTGAAAATAAAATAAAATAGAAATGAGGAGGAACATTATTTTTCAGCGGAAAGATTATTTATTGAAGCGCTTTGAATACACAGAGCGGAACCTTTGAGCGTTAATTAGGTGACGGCTCTATGGACCGCGTTAGCTAATTAAACGAAGTTCATCAATTCGGCGGTTCGTTAACGCTGTGTAATAAAGATGCGCAGATTGCGGGGAATCTCACAAATGTTCGAAATTTCGAATCAGAGCTTTGTTGGAAGTGTAATATAAATTTATGTTATATCCACGCTCCACTTTTCTCCAGTGCGCGCGAATGAATATTTTCTCCGCTCATCGTGCGCCGCGCGTTCTTCGCGGTAATCGGCCCGTCAGATCGTAAATTAGTAAATGGATCCTGCAATTTTAACGCGCATTCCGTGCCCGTCCGCGAGCATTATTTTCTCTACATTTTTTTTCAGTCGGCGGCGGTCGCGCGACGTTTCGTTAACTATACAAACGCAAAAAATTCGAAGTTCGCGAGAATGAATTTCAAACGAGTGTGACTTGTCGGTGATTATCCTGTGACGTGTATGATATCGCAGCAAGCCGGAATATTCACAAATGCGACAGATGATAAATAGAAAAGGAAAAAAATAGCATATTGGGCGCGTACACTCGTGTATACTGCAGACGAATCACATTTCATATGCTATCAGTAAATAAGATAAAACCTATCTCGGCTTACTTTCCCGAAATTAACACCAAAACTAAACAGACATGATTTACAATTAGACGTATTATCCATTTATTATTGTCATGTTAATCAGCAGAAAATAGAGATATTGCAAATTAGCACAATGAAAGGTTTTAATTAATGATTTATTCTTTATTATTGAATGTTTATTATTCAAATTACTTTTACTATAAAATTTTATCTATTTATTAGCGATGATGAATTAAAACGCGTTTAGCAAGCGAAACCGGAATTTTGTGCGATATCGTCGTTTCCAAGCGGATCGTGATTAACCGATCTGAGTGTACACATCCCCTTCGAACTGCGGCAATTTCTTCCATTCATTAAAGCACCCCATAGAGCGGGCAACGTGCCACACGCGAACATCGTAGCCGAGATAAGCGGAAATGGCGTTTGGCGCGGTAATTGCGGTGTGTTTACATGTCCTCGTTAACCCCGGAATCTCTTGCGGAATTCTTAAATCATAGCCGTAACTCTGTACCGCATATAAATCGGTTAACAATAAAACAAAGCAACACCGTTTCATTAAGATCGCAGATACGTTGAGCTATGATGCGCCATCGTTAGTGGAATTTAGATTTATCATGATTGAAGCTGATCTCTTAATCCTAGCAGAACGCAATCCCGAGAGAACGGTTCAATTATTGTCAGTCAATTGTTAAAAATATTTATTTCTAATTCAATATCAATTTAAATCTTGACTTGTGCGCGTCATGCATTTTTTTATTAATTGCATTAAGAATTGAAGCTTATTTAGAAATAAATTTATAAACAATACAAAAATACTTAATTTATAGTCATTTCTTAGCCCGATTCCGTTCATTTCACAAATCGAACGAATAAATTCCGCATTTATCGAAAACGAAAGCATTTCGAGAGTTTGTTGCAATTTTCTCCGTAATTATTGCGAGTTTTTCTTCGCGAAGATATCGACGAATTTGGCAAAGGTCACGATTTAATCTAAGGCCGTAGCAAGGCCGTCGCGCAGTCGCGTAATCTTTTCTCTCTTCCACTTTCTCTCTCTCCTCCTCTCTCTTTCACTCGTCCTTCTTCTTCCTTATCGTACATGTGCCTCGTCGCGATGAACCGGCCGCGTCAACGGACGCGCGTACTACGGCGCGTAGTAGTAGGCCGTAGTATGCGTCCTACCTTCCCGCCGTCGTTCATTCATGAGTGACGGAGCGCGCGGCGAAACTTTTCGCTACAACCGACGCGACGGGGAAATCGACGCGGGAGGCGCGGGACAAAGAGCGACCGTCGCGCCCACCCACGCGGCACGCCGTTCGCGCCTATATATCGCGTACCCTCGAAACAACACATACATATGCATATCGTGCAAAGAGAGTTAACGTAGCGTACAAAGTGCGGCAGAAATCGCTGGATGATATTCGAAGCGCTCGAAAAGCAGAAAGAGCGAACTCGAGATGAGTTAGTTTCTCGTCTTTCTGCCCGGGTATCGATAACTGCAGCGAAAAATAAAATATCGCGCTGCCGAGATTTTCGATGCTGTTTGCGGAGCGCGCCATGGTGTATTCGCTGAAATCATATTATAATATTAGTATTAATTTAAGCAGTAATTAAACATATAAAATTAAATAATGATCAAATATACCGTAGAACAGCACGTATCGCCGGAATAAATGGAATTGTAGTAATTATGCCGGCTTCGCTCTCTCGCCTCCGGTCATCAGATTTTCACGTACGTTCTGTATTTGTTAAGGAGATTCCATCTCTAAAATATCATACACCCCATATACCCCGCCGTAATAGAGTTCAAACAACCGGGGAATCTACGCGACGATCACGAGATATCTGTGCCATTCTATTAACACGCTCGAGCGCAGCAAAACTCTGCCCTAAGAAAACACTACGTGTCTTCACAGGCGGCGGCGTGCCGTTAAATGGCGCCGTTAATTCCGAGCTGCGCTGGCTGTCCAACGCTCTGGAAATCCGTGAGACCACGACAGCGGGTAAACACGCCGTTGCAACCATGGAAATACATCCGGGCGATATTCTGATAGTCGAGCCGCCGCTGGCGGGTTGTCTCCTACCCGAGTTCTACGGCACCCATTGTCAGCATTGTTACGCGAGGTGAGGAGAAAATTGCCGCCGGGTCGTCTGGGGTCGCCCCGAATTTAATGGACACAATCCTTGGGCGGCGCGCGTAATCCTCCGCGTGTAACTTCTGCTTTGTCTACGCGCGCGCGGTAAGCCTGGTCGTCGCGTTATCCGTAGCTTTTTACGGATAAACCCGTGGCGGCGGGAAAGAGAAAATGGATTTCATTAACCCGCGCAGACGCGCGTGACGAACGACGGGATGTATACGACGGACGGAAACTTTTTATTACGTGAGTAAAATTTACGCGTTAATCAAGACGCAAAGAATCCCGAAATGACATGAAAGTTTCAAGATGACGTCCTAAGGACGCCAGAAAAGCCACTTAATTTCGTGGACGTTATTGAAATATTTTTTTAAATATACAATATATATTCTTTGTAGAAATTTTCTGATTTTTTTTTTTTTTTAACTAATTTTGATATTCGTGTGGTTTTACAAAAAGATTTGTTCATTATGTTCACGTTTAGAGTTATACAAAATTATTTGATCGATAAGCTTAAACTTATCTGAACTGAATCTCATTGCTCTCGCGGTGCGAAAATTTTTGCTTGACTTTTATTCGTCAATTTGCATAATTTACTTCCTCGACTAACCCCATTTTCCTTTCGATCAATCTACGAATATTCGGAAAATTTTTAGATTGAGAGCACCGATCGGGTGTCCGAATTGCAGCTGCGTCGCCTTCTGCAGCAGAGACTGCAGAGACATTGCGATGGCCACATATCACAAGTACGAGTGCAAAGTTCTGGGATTATTAATAGGTAAGAGTATAAATAAACGCTCTAGAGAGAGAGAGAGAGTATATTGCACAATGTATAGCGTGTTTAGAAAAACGCTAATTTTAAGTAAACATTGCACAATATTTCTTGTACAAAAATAAAATTGAGATTTTTTTTATCAAAATTTAATCGAGCGCTGCAATTGTTCGTGATGTTTGAGGTTTCAAAGTTTGTATCTTCAATGTGTATTTTTGTTAAAACAATCTACTATTAAAACACAATCCATCGAAAATTAAATAAAAAGTCAAATTTTATTATTTATTTACTTGAAGCGGAATTTATCAAAATTTTTTTATAGTTAAAAAGTTGCTATTGTCTCGACATTTCTGTT